ATGCTAATTCTTCGCTGGAGCAGGAAAATAACGATGAGCAGGAGCAGATAAGAATAGCAAGGGCCTTACTGAACTATCGTGCAAAGGAAAAAATGGAAATGGCTAACCCTAACAGAGTCCCCATACCGTTTCAGAAAAAATTCCCTATTCCAACCCGTCAATCCTCTAGTCCACAGCGACCTACAGCGCCCACATCCAAAATCCTTCCCTTATTACACCAGAAAACTGCTCCTCGAAACAGACCTTCGTTTATTGCAAATGACAGTCATATTCCATTGTCACACCGTCGACCATTTTCACGGCCCACATCTCCAGAAGTTCAGGCAATACACAATCCGAGGTTCCCTGATGTTGGGGCAGCACCTTACCTCCCTGTTAGACAATGTAGGGCGCCTTATCAAGGGATCGCGCCAGCGGTTACAATAAGAAATTCGGTGCCAGTTTTCTCTGCACCACCACGTCCACCACCTTCACATCCTATTCGGCCCCAATCTGTGCGAGTATCCCCACCTGTTTGTGTCCGGCAGGTAGTTCCTGTTTTTGCTGCTCCGCCTGTGCATAAAGAAATCCCACCACTACCTATGACGACTTGTGCACCTCCAAATAAAAGGCCACTCGAGGATGAGGAAACTGTGAAGAATTGCACAGACGGCATCGATGAATCTACTGCAGTGAAGTGCTTGGAACAACTCGAGATATGATACTCTCCCCGAAAATCTCGTGTTACATTTTTGTGTTATGTTGGGATGCTTTCTATTGTCCTACTCAAATATACTAGTGTCTCCCTCTGTTGCCTCATTTGTTTGTATACATCTTCTTTGTGCTTAGAATTGTTGCAGGTGAACTCCTTTTTCTCTACCATAATATTTTGTGGATTTAATGCAGATGACCTGAGGTATCAAATAGATTATGAATATCACCACCTTTTTCTTCATTCAAGTCATATTTCCTTGGTAGAAAAATAGTATATTGAATTGATGAAAAAGTTGTGTGAAAACCTGTCTTTTTTATCCATTCGGTTATTCTTAAATCACAACCAACCATACAAGCATCAAAATGTTATATAAAACTTTGTATAAAGTTTATCTTCCGCTTGGCTTTTTCAAGAAAAAAATTTAATATATGTAGATGATTTTGATGTTAAATTATTATTATATTGCTATTTATGAAGACTCTCTTGGAGCCATTATCCCACTATTATCCCAGTACGAGGTCATAGATTGCGTATATGATTGAACGCCCTCAAGACTCGAGCAATTTCTTAAGACAAATGATCTATTCACGTGTTTCACAAGCTACTATGTACTTGGATCGATTGACCTTCAAATCTAGTTGGATTCAAGTGTGTCAACAAACTCTGCCTCCACTCCTCTTCAAACTTAAGTTACCGCGCACTCGTTAGACGAGCAAGATCGGAGCCTCTTCAAACACAAAGAGTGGGGGAGGCTGTAATTGTACACGCTCCGATGCTCAAGTCAGTCAAAAGAATAATATGATATAGTTTGAGTTTTAGAGTGATATTGAACTAAATATACATCTTTAGTTGATTAAATTAGTAAGAGACCATCAATCTTTTAATGATTAAACATATTAATTGAACCTAAATTGATGGATTAATCAAACAAATCCAAAATCTCTTTATAGTTTTTTTTGGTCCAAAGTTACCCACAACCATACAATAGCACCCGTCTTTTCTTTATTTACAAATTTAGGTCAAGACTTTAGGGTGAAAAAAACAGAGCATGCAAATGGTAGGTGTGCTAAACAAGCAAAGGTAGAGATATAAAATACACCAGAAAAAGAGAGGTGTCGATCCCATATGAAATTGGGTCGAGAGGTGGTGGGCCCGACTATCCACTTCAACGACATCAGTGTCCATGTCAGCAATCAATTTTTGTGGACCCACAGCATGGTTAGTGTCAGAATTTGGGGTCCAATTAAGATTTATTCTTTCCTATGAGAAAATGCAATGGCTCAAAGACAAAAGGGAGAGATGGGAACCCTCCACCCATTATTAGGAACCCATCAAGAGAAAAAAGTGAAAAAAATTGGGAAAATGGGGTGGGAGACAAAGTAAAGGAATGTTAATCCCATCAACCTAAAGTTCAAATGAAAACAAACAAAAATACACGTAAACATTTGACTTTGCTATGTTTATCTTACACTTCCTTGTCATTTTTAGCCCATGTTTGGTGTGGATTAAAATTTGATTTTAATCTAGGTCAAAGTCAAACAATCAATATTAATCATATCTTTCATTGATTCCACAACTTTTTCAATCGCACATTTTTAAAATTTCTATCACAATTTACTAAAAATCTAATTTTAAGCCACACCAAACAACCTCAATTTTCATTAATTTTCTTCCAAATTATTATATTTTTTTCTCCACAAAAAATTGAAATATTTTGAATACATTTAATCATGGAGAGTGGAATTGGTTCTCTAAATTTTGAAAGAGTAGTGCTACAAGTACATCAAGGGCCTGCACACACACCAATAGTAGGGTGACATGTGTCCATTATGGACACCATTATGGCACCACCTGCACACACACCAATAGTGGGGTGACATGTGTCCATTATGGACACCATTATGGCACCTTTGATATACAAGAAGAATTATCCATTTTGAAAAACAAACTCACTCTGTAAACATTTTTTTTATTTTTGGCAAGATCCCATAACACTTTTTGAATCTGACATTAATTCCTTCTGCCCTCGAAAAGATAAAATTAATTCCTTCTTTCTTCTCTACCACACACGAAATGGGGTGAAATCTCGTAGAATTTAATACCCGACAACTACTTTATTTGCAGCACGAAATGTCGGTCAAAATTGGGGGAAAAAAAGGCAATTCTCTTTTGGATTTACTCGTCAATACTCAGGATATGACAATACATTGACGTGTTTTAGGGTAACAATACAAAGTCAAATTAACAAAGATTTGGAAAAATCTTTTCTTTTAACATTACATTATACCCTAACAATTTCAATCATAGCAATGCCTTTTTGTTCCCACTCCTAACTTATAAATATTATTAATAAATGATAAAAAAAATGGGAGGACCAAAAGGAGGAGTGTTTTTGTTATAAATATGATTACGAGAATTGTATCTTAGGTTTAGAAACATATTTCGTGGTCAGATTTGACATTCTCAAGAAAAATAAGGGTTTAACGCCCTTTTTAAATCGATGGTTTTGAATTATTAAGTCACTTAAATGGTTGACATATCGAGTCTTAATTATCACGGGATTCACATACCTTGTAAATTACTGATCAAACTTTCGAAATGGGATACATTAGAACATGTCAAAGTCATTAGTTTAATGAAAAAATACGACTATAGCATGTTTGGTCAAATTTAATAAGAGTCCTAAAAGTTATATTTTTGTTTTCTTAACACATTTAATTGCATTGTATTTTTCTAGTAGATTATTAAATTGGAAATTGAATTCATAATATTTTAATGAGAATTTTACTTTGCTATCGCATAGTTACAACTTCTAGTGAAATCTAGATTTCCATTTGCTAATCTTTGCTTTGAAAAATGGCTTCTTTAACTCTGGGGTAAAGAAAAAAATGGCATCTTTTCATTTTAGTGGCATACAAGTACAAGCATGTTCATTGTGTGGGTTGACATTTAATTCTAGCCCCAGTTTGAACCATATTAAAAGGGTATTTGGTGGGGAGTAAAATTATATTTTTAATGGATTGTAATAGAAGTTTTTGAAATATGTGATTGAAAAGATGTGAAACCCATGAAAGATATTAATATTTGTTGACCTCGAAAAATGGCTCGACACGTGGTCAACGGAATAAGTCTTCAAGCTAGCTCTTCCCTACACAAATAGCACGCCGTTAGTCACCCGTGACCTTTCCCGGAGGAGCTCCCCCGCGAGCACTTCGACGGTCGAGTCAGTTAAAGGTTCAACCGGAAAAGGTTTACCGACGGTAAAACACTTGTCGGGAAATGGTTGATAAAGTGTGTAGTGATAAAGTGCCAATATTTAAGGGAGGAGATGATACCCAAGTTTACAATGTAGTAGGTGAATTTTTTATTCTAATGCTTCTTCTGGCACAATGATGGAATATTTATACTAAAGACGGGAAGAGGAGAGCCGTTGGATGAGAAGACACATGTTATCAGATCTTTAGGGCTCGTCCCATCCTAGGTGTCAATCTGTCCCTCCATAGGTTGGCTAGCATTGAATGTCTCTGACAAAGGCGACTGAATTGACCATTTGGGTCTTGTCACATGTCTCATTAGTCAGGGATTTGATTTTGGAAAGATCTTTGTACAAGAGATCTTTGCTGAGGCAGGGCGAGGCAGGTGTAAAGTCGTAGAAGCGGACTCATGAGCCTTTGCATTCGTGGTGCATCGCAGATGAGTTCGATTCCTTCGCTAGCATACGTTCAATTCGTCCATCGTGTAATCACTTCGACATATGCAATTAGCTCGTCCAATGAGCAATCATCTCGGCTGACACGTGGCGTGGTGTTGACCACTTCTACAACACGTGGCGGGTTTGACAGAGGCCCGTAACAATATTGATTGTTTGACTTTAACTTAAATTAAAATCAAATTTTAATCAAACCCAAACATGCCCTTAAATTTTCATTTTTATTCTTCTACTCATTTTCAAACACATATTCTTTAATAAAATAATATTTTATATCACATCAATATTTTTTCTTTCTTATTCAACTTCATATTCTCCATCAATCTATTATTCCAAAATAATGTGACTCAAACACACCCCTAATTTCTAAATTGGCAATCAAGGAGGCCAAAAGTTGGAATCGAGCTGGAAAAGCTTGAAGTCTTCTTTTCATATGAAGAATAGAAGGATTCCACCTATAAAAAGAATTTGTTGTTGGGAAAAATCAATCATCATCAAAGACATTGAACACACAAAACATAAAAAGAGTCAAAAGAGAGAAAATAATTATTAAATGTGATACAGTAAACAATCGACACCCACAAGAGAATAACACTTTACTAGATAAGAACACCACACAATAAAATACATTTCTCACCCTCACAATTTCTTTCTACACAAAATTAGAACGTTGACTCCAACGTATATTGCACACCCTCACACATTGTTTCTTCTAGTTTCTCTCATCTCAACTGTTTGTCTCTCTTCGATGGGTGGCTCACCATGACATTCAATGTCATTCTGCAATCGTGTGTACTGCACCACAATTCTCACACACGACGCTAGAATAAACATGCACCTGCATGTGTCTGCGCGCACACAGATTCCTCTCTCTCTCTCTCTCTCGATAATGGACTATTGTGTTTCTTTTCGTGTATTCTAGCGGTGCTTATGTGTGTGTATATTAGGGCAATGCTCAACCTACCGAGCTTTTTAAGAACGGAATTTAACAAAAAATATTGGGCCTTAAATTAATCTGTCTAACTGCCCCCATCTTAAACTAAAACCTTTTTTATGCCATAAACGAAATCCAAACGCACAGCTATTTGTCACTATTCATTACATTTTTATGATTTCGATTTATAATAATTTTAAAGTCATATTTGTACTACTATTTCGTCGTAAAATATGATGTCATAATGTCATCAGCGAGTTGCAATAGACATCCACAAATAATTGTCAAATCGTCAACTAATTGATCGGTTCAGTTAATGGTTCGCCTTTATATAATGAAAAATAAAATAAACTACCCGCAAAGT